GTAAGTGTGGTTAACAAATTCCCGAAAGGGATGAAAATATATCCTTATGCTTCTGATTTTGATTTCTTTCCCTTGGAGTTTATCATGAGCTTTAAGTAAAAACATACAAGTTTAAGTGGAGCTGCATTATACTGCGTTATACATGTCCATAATATGTAAAGTATATCAAAATTTTTGTTAATACATGTTAGAGATTATCCCAAGTGCCTTATAGCTAGTGTTGGTAGCATTCTTCTACAAATGCTTAATACTACTAAAGTCCTGTTGGGCATTACATACTGTCTCTAATGAATCTCCATCCGATGTAGCATTGTAACAGTTTGGTTTGTATGGTGTAATAAGAATATTCATGATAGGGTAAATTGTCATCATTTTTACTACTGTTACATGACTCTAAACCATTTATGAACTGTAGTCAAGACATTGCCCATTTTTTATAAACCGTAAAATGCAAAGTTTAACTGTTACCCACAGTTTACATAGAAGCTGGTAAAGTGTAACTTTGTGCCTGTCTTATAAATCAGTGTAATTACATATTCAAGTTTAATTACTGGTGCGTCTGTATTGGCAAGGTTTATATGTTATATTTTATGCAAGACTACGATTCCTATTAATATTTAGCAGCTAACTATATCATTAATTACTCTAAATTCTTTCCCCTACCATCTTTTTAATGGAGCTGAGAGAGTAGGAGTATTAAAAATTGATGTATTGTGGATTTCAGAAAAGTGTATGACACTTCGAAAATGCCAGGTCTTATTCAGTTGGGTCAGGCATATCAGTTTCTTGTTTACTGAAAAGTACTGACCCTGGGAGAAATGAGAACTCTTGGAGAATTCTCAATCGTATTTGAATGATGAAGTACACGTGCATCTTAGCAGTTAGGATGATGTTGGGATGCTACAGCTATTCTTCTCCGACTTAGTCGGCAAACTGCTTAACTTCACATATCCACATATTGATACAAGATTACTCGTCTTCATTTTTGTGTTTTGTTCTTTGTGATCCTATTTGACATTTTGTTTTGGGTTTGAAACAGTGTCTCATATTGCAACACAGACTCAGACTCTCATAACTTCTCCTGCCTCAGCCTCCTATGTCCTTCTGGAAGGATAGGCATATATTACCACCCTCGCTGAGAGTTTAGTCAAAGGCCTGAGAGAGATAGATAACCCTGATATCTACTCATCTTCATTTGACCTTTCACAAGTTGTTATTTTATTGATTTTTAAAATACCTCCCACTGTTTGACATATGCCCGTCTTTGAGATCATATGCCTCATCAGTGTGCGGTACTTTCAGTCTATCGTCTTTTCAAACACATGGCAGTCATTAATGTGTTTCTTCAGAATCCAAGCCATTACTTTTCCAGAATGGAGAAATCTGTCTTTTGGAAGTGTCTTTAGTTGTATTAAATAATACAAAAGAAGTGATAAAACTCCAAGTAAAATGAACATAAATATAAGCTCTCGAGACTAACCTCACTCTAAGCAAGAAAAAAGAACAATCCGACAGCAGGTTTTACATCCGCACCGTCACCCTGTCAGCCATAGAGAGGTAGCTGGAGGCTTTTCCTTTCAGTTGCTCTCATAAATGTGCTGATGCTCCCTCCCTATGCAAATGCTAAGAGAATCCATCTTTAAACAACCAACATGAGTTAGATCTTAGTTTTCTCCATTTAAAAAGGAGAGCCATATGAAAGGCATTCATAAAGGCAGTGTGTGAACTGTGGATTCTCCTTCTCTTACTCCTATGCAGTACATAGAGACCAGTGCAAACCGTGTGCAAGAAGATGGAGAGGAAAGTAATTTTCACAAGTTTAATTGTCCAATGCTAAAACTATTAAAATAAAAAGTTAATGACTTAATAAAATAGGTTATTAAACATTGTATTTTGGAACCTGAAAAAACAGTTGGACTAAATAATGGCTTTGTTAGGTTCATGGTATTTTTCACTTGACGGTTGGCAGTTCTGGACATTCAGTTTATTGTTAAAGTTTATTAATGAAATATCTAAAAGAAATGATAGTATGCTAAAAACAATATTAAAATATATTTAGTGTCTGGTGTAGTACCATTACCATTTCACATAAAAAAAAACCATTTAGTTAATGCATTATGTGTATTATACTGACATGAAGCAACACCACACACACAGTACCTGTATTTATTTTCCATAGAAGAAAGAAAAGCTTCCCTTTCTTTGTAGGAAATAGATTTCAGAAAAAAATAAGAGCTAGAAGAACACCATGTCTTGTCTTTTCCTGAGTAATACGAATGAAAATCAAGTTTGTAATTATTCTGCACGGTATTGAGTCAACACTGATCCTTCTCATGTCTTCGCGCTGCTCCATGAACGTCTTGTAGACTATTTAGATGTTTGTAGGTCTCACCCAGCATCCTCAGCGGTATGCTTCTGAGATGCTCATTTGTAAGGAATTGTAAGCATCTTGTGTACACTATGAAGAACAGTAAAGTGAAATTATTGACGTGGATCTATCAATTAAAATTTGTTTGTCCCTAACTGAATATAGTTCAGAAAAGTTGAGGATTAGATAGAAATGAAAATCCTATCTTATGAAACATGTATGTAGTATTTTTTGTGTTTTTTTATGTGCATTCATGTTGTGTGTTGTTTTGAATGGGTTAACTATGTTGAAATTAATATAAAAGAGAGACAGAGTGTCAGATTGTTAGTGGTTCAGCACCAGATTCAGCGTTCAGTACCCAATGGAAGTGGACAAGTTTACTTTCCTTGGCTTCTTTTTCTTCCTATTCTACTACATTTTTCTTCCTATGCCTACTACATTAGATTTATGCAAATAAACTGAGTGTCTAGAACACAATGATGCTTCTTGTGCTATATACTTATCTAGGTATTGATTGATAGGATCTCAGATTAAGATTGTACTATCTCATTGTAAACTTAAGAGAGAATAATAATCAATACAAAACACACTTTTCAGTTTTAATAATTTCTGTTCACTTCAAAAGAATTATATAGTTTGGCAAAACTATCTTTTTATTCTTTTTTCTTATAATCCAGGAAGTAAGCATCCCATTAAAAATGAGGCAGTATCACAGAGGAATTTACTTTATGGAGCTCATTCCTCAGACCCAGTGCAATAAGGATTAGAAGCATAAGAAAATATTAACTGAAGTTGTTGGCAGTGAGCAACTCTAACAGGGAGAATAATACCAACCCAGAATTAGTAACTCATGTGCCTTAAAACAGGGAGAATTTCGTTAGACTGGAAATCAGAACACATAAGTAACTACAGCGTTTAAAATAGATGAAGATGAAACCAGACCTCTAAGAGAGTAAGTAGCAAGCAGTGGGGCCTGTTCATCAGTGTGAGCTTGCTCAGGGTGATGTGTTTGGGTTTGGTACTGCTTTAAGAAGCAAACTCCCTCAAATCACACCACATGTAGTATGTCTTAACAGCAAAAAAGTCAAGATGTTTTAGTTAAGAAATCAGGATGCAGAAGATTATTGGGGGGCTCTAGGATCTATGGTATTTGCTTTAAAGGAATGGAAAACAATGAATCCAATAAGTGGGGTTTTTTGTTTGTTTGTTTGTTTGTTTGTTTTAAAGATGAGAAAAGGCACTAGACTGTATTCTAAGAAGAAACCGAGAAAGGCTCATGGCTACAGTAAAAGTCATTGCCAAGTAGAAGGCAGGGAAGAAAGGGAAAATGGTGACTTCATAATTTTGGCTGTGGAGTCTAAGAAATTAAATGTCCTCAGATTCTGGGGGTGAAAAAAAACACCAGACATGCTTAGTTTGTTTAGATTTTTATTCAGTTCCACAGTATCGATGTGGTTGAATGTGAATGTGTACTTGATGATGGTAGAGATACGTACGCATCGAAAGAATAAAGGGACAACCGTGGGCTGCTCGAAGGTGCCACGTTTCCCCATATATTCCACTGGGTACTGCTAAAACTCTCCTGCCACTCCAGGAATAATGGAATAGAGTGGCTTCTCGGGTGGGCTTCTTTTCCTGCTCTCCCCATTCCGCCTATGTCCTCCCTGATAACTCCAAGGGTCCCGCCCCATCCGCAGTCATTGGTCGCTAGTTTGTTTGTTGATAGATAAAGATCCAATTGGGGAACAAGATCTTAATAGAGCCAACCCTTGCCTTCCACTTTTCTCTTCTAACTGTCCTTTCCATTACAAATTTTTATTTTTGTAAAGCAAAGCTTTTCCTCCCCAAAAATTCATTTAGTTTATTTGAAATGTTGCCTGCCCTTTGTTTGCCAGGTTTCTGTTACACAAATCTACCTCACCTTATCATAATGATCCTATTGCCCAAGAGGCTTTCCCAATTAAGTTTTCTGTCAGAGTCTAAGTTCAGCTTCTTCCTTCCAAAAGCTTGGTTCCTGCCTTTCCTTGAACTAATACTGTGGCACCTGGGTGTGCTGGGACATGCACGTTCATTCTGCAGATATCTCCAAGTTAACACCAAGTTTCTTAAGAATGTACAGTATATTTTAGACATATGGCCTGTTCATTAGAAACAGCTTCAGTTTACAAAGTAATACCTACAGTAATAACATCCTTGATTTGGCTAGCTCGCTAAAGAAGGAAAACTAAACACTTAGGCCAATAAGTAGCTCTAATATTGCTCTTTATGTGTAGTAAGCAGTTGTAAATCTAAACTCAAATCATGTTAGATCTAATCAGTCATGCTTGAGCACCCAACACTTCACCAGCTGAACTGTCTCCTCAGCCCTTCAGTTAGATTGACGCTGTGTTTATGAAGATATAATTTCAATCTACTGTCTTCTCATATTTTCTAGACATAAAAGAGAAGAAAATGTTCGGATCAGAATTGAAAGGTGAACCCATACTAATAAAATTAGTCCCAAAGCTTTCTTTTTCCAATCGTGGTAAACGCTGGTGTTAAATGATGAAATCACAGTAATTAGCACAACCCTAGTGTTTCTTCTCTTTGAAGCCATTACTGCTCCTTATTCTCAATGAGTTGGCTCAGATTC